ATTTAGTTGTTTGTGTTACTTATTCTAAAACGGGTTGTTGTTGTTATAAAGTAAAATAGTAGTGCAGTCTAATTCTGTCATACTATCAAAAAGTTATTTCAGGCCAGTTTGTCACCTGACTTCTCTTTTTAAAAATGTTTGTATATATTTCGCACAGGAAGCCTTACAGAGTATTGCTACCGATCCTGGACTTTATCAGATGCTTCCAAGATTCAGCACATTTATTTCTGAGGGCGTAAGCACATTTCCAACATCTTCTCTTCTCAAACATTTCTTTACCTCACAAAAAAGCCCTGAGCATATTTGTGTTCAAAGTGCTGACCTTAGGCTCTCTTCAAAGGTGCGTGTAAACGTGGTGCAAAACAACTTGGCTCTTCTGATTTATCTGATGCGGATGGTCAAAGCTCTGATGGACAACCCCACCCTGTATCTGGAAAAATACGTAAGTGATGGAAACAAATACAATGTTGTATTATTTTATGAAGCTTGTAACCCAAAACATACTTTCAATGTGATATTCAATTTTTTTTTCTCTTTTTCTCTCCATCTACAGCTCCATGAGCTCATCCCGGCTGTGGTCACCTGTATTGTGAGTAAGCAGCTGTGTTTGCGACCGGATGTTGACAACCACTGGGCTTTACGGGACTTTGCTGCTCGTCTTATGGCCCAAAGTTGTAAAACCTTCAGTACAACAACCAACAACATTCAGTCTCGTATTACCAAGACTTTTACCAAGGTGAAGTTTTTCTTTGGTAATAAATATGTTGTTCCCATATTGAAGATGTTTTGATATTTTATATATATAGTGAAATGCACAGAGCAGTTAGGGTTAGGGTGATTGGCAGTAATAAATTGGCTATAGGTGTGAATGGGTGTCTGTTGCTCTCTTATCCTTACGAGAGATTTGCGACCTGTCCAGAATGAGCACCAACTTGCATCTTATGATGGCTGGAATAGACTTCATAAGAGACTAAATTGGATATGTGGAAAAGGGGGGATGGAGGGAATCATGCAGAGTATAAATTTGTTTAACTCTATCACTCAAGTATTAAACGGGCTCTATGGCTGTATTTCATAATTATGGCTGTAATACTTTTCAAATGACAAAATAATTCTCTTCTTTCAGCAACCATTCCATTTATCTCTGTTCTTTTTCTCTTTCATTTTCCCAAATAGTACTGTGAAGTGCACATGGCGTAGTGTAGGCGGTGTTAATTTGTCTGTCAGAAGTTAAACTAAATAGCTTCACATTTTCTCAAAATCTAATTGATGACAGTGTAAAAATGCAGGTATGCATCAAGCTGTGTTGTGCAAGTATGTCTTAAAATTGTTAATAATAATAATCAGTAACCAAATATGTCATTGCCAATTTGTAAAAAAACAAACAAATTCTAGTTGTATTTTAATGTTGTTTAAGAGTGTATCTACCCTTTTGCTCTTTAGTCTGATGGAATCTTACTGGCCCTGTTTTGTGAGCGTTGTTTAAGCAGGTGTGAACTTGGTAATCTCCTGTTGCGACTGAAGCGCTCTGAAGCTTTTCTTTGTGCTTTGCATTCTTACGTAGTAACAGTTCGATAATAAACCTTTACCTCACAAATGTATCCTCTAGTCCAGGACACAACAGTTGAAAATTCTCATGTGATTCACAGGGAGGCTTTGTAGCTTTTTTGGACTGATTCAGAACAGGCAATCAAACACCAAGTAGGAAAACACAGCAAAACACATGAATCCACTTTTTTTTCTTCTTCCAGAGTTGGCTGGATGATAAAACGCAGTGGACGACACGGTACGGCTGCATCGCTGGACTTGCAGAACTGGGACCAGATGTGAGTGGGGTTTTGTTTCCTCTTCTTCTTCTTGTTCTGTCTGTTGCAGTGAAACCAACCTGCTGTTTTTATCTTTTATCCTCTGTAGGTGATAAAGACATTGATAATTCCTCGGCTTGCTGTAGAAGGTGCTCGGATCAAAGCAGTGATGGAAGGACCTGTGATCTCTAATATCGATAAGATAGGAGCTGAACATGTTCAAAGCCTCCTACTGGTAATATATGAACTTTTCTGAGTCTCATACATTAGTTTGTAAACTAGAGCAGTCCAAACAGATTACATAAACCCTGAGATTGTTATTAAAGTGTTTTGTTTTCCCTTCTCCTTTTACAAAGAAACATTGTGCCAGTGTTATTGCCAAATTGCGATCTCAGCCTGACAACGTGGAGCAGTATCGCACAGAATATGGTTATCTCGGACCCATGCTTTGCTCCCATGTAATGAAGGCCAGGACTCAAGCAGCACTGCAAGCTCAGCAAGTCAACAGAACGACATTAACAATCACTCAGGTATAACTTACACCCAGTTATCACCAAAGTATCCTATACCATACCATCATTTATTTATATAGCAATTTAAAAACAACACACGGCCGACCAAAGTGCTGCACAGCAGAAATACTAAAAGTATATAAGTAAAACTATATGAATAATTATTATTATTTTTAATTTACAATTAACAACAAAATAACAGTGTCAGTTACCCGCTAATTCAAAAGTGAGGGAATGAAAATAAGTTTTGATTCTGGATTTAAAGACCACCACTGAAGAAGATTGCCTGATGTTAAGAGGAAGATGATTCCAAAGCTTCGGGGCAACAATAGAGAATGCTCAGTCTCCTCTAAGTTTCAGCCGAGACTGAGAGCAACAGCTGCTCAGGCTAACCGGCGTGAACGAGGGGGGACATAGGGCTTCGGCAGGTCGGACACATATACGGGCGCCAGACCATTTAAGGATTAAAAAAAACAGTAAAAGGGTTTTAAAATGGATCCTAAATTCAATTGGAAGCCAGTGTAAGGAGGCCAGAACTGGAGTAAAATGCTCAAATTTTCTTTCACCAGTTAAAATCCGTGCGGCAGCATTTTGCACCAGTTGCACCAGAGTTCCCTGGCTAACCTTTATTAAAAGGGAGTTAGAGTAAACCAAGGGTGAGGTTATAAAAGCATGATGGCAGTTTCCAAGTCGTGCCTGGGGAAAAAAGGCTTAAGCTTTGACAGACGTCTGAGGTAATAGAATGAAGATTTTCACCACTCCATTCACGTGGCTGTTAAAATGTAAATGAATGTATATTTAAAAATACTTATCTGTAATAAGAGAATTCAAAATTAAAATGGCATATTAAGATTATTACAAGTGCTATTGGTAACTAGTACGTTTGCCTTCGTTTAATAATGAACAATGACACTTTCTTTCAGCCGCGTCCCACCCTTTCAGTCTCACAAAGCGGGCTAAGTGGGTCATCAGGTCCTCGCACTCCCAGCATCATTAAGGTCCCAAGCTCCCTCACACTGATGTCGCCACGACCTGGTACCCCATCACAGCCATCTCCTCCAGCTACTAAGTACATTGTTATGGCAACCAGTGCAGGAGCTGCCTCAACTCAGCAGGTGATTTTAGTTTTTTACCACCACTACAGAAAATCTGTATAAACTGTTTTCCCATAAAGCCACAAAGCCTTTCTCTTATACTTGACCTTCATATTGGCATGATAATGTGCCAGATTTGACATTTTATAAATGCTTAGTGTTACAAAATGGAAACGCAGTGACAAAACTTACTGAATAAAGATTGCTGTTGATGATTGTGACTTCTAATAAAATCTACAACTGCTTGCATGTTTTTTGTCTATCGTCAGGTCATAACTCTCAGCTCTTCACAGTCAGCTTCACCAGTAACTAGTACTGTTCCCAGTGCTACATCTACCTTGCAGCCTTTGGTAAAACTGGAGCCTGGCAGTGGCCCTGGACTGACAGCTTCACGACCTCTGCAGAAGTACATAGTCGTGTCTCTTCCCTCGTCTGCCTCTTCGTCTTTGGAGACTAAGAGCTCTGTGCTACCCACTTCAATCTCCTCAAGTTCACTAGATGGAGGGATGAAGCTGGAACGGTCCGAGTCTCCTGGAGCAAGCACACAGTCGCCACACTGAGACTTGTATGAGTAGTGGAGATTCCTATCAAGTTGGAGCACCTGAGCACACAAGGAGATTTGTTTGGGCTGAACTTAATGGGGCAACCTCTGAGGTGGTATGAGGGGGCAATATCTGAACTCTTGACTGATTGAGAGCAAATGTGACCAGAGGTAAATATGTTGATGCCCGATGAAAACCGACCAATCTGTGACATCTTCACTGTTTCAGCTTATATTCAAATTGATTTCATGTTTCTTTTTTACCCTAAAATAAATGATTTTTTATGAAATCTTTCAACTGTATGTGATTTTTACATTTCTGTTGTCATTTTAAGTGATTCTTTGGTATTGTCATTTTTGGTATGGATGGCTCTCAGAGTTTGTAAATTGCTGCCAACATCCAATATCTGAGCTTGCAAAACAATCCACATGGGCATCAAGTCAGTGCAATAAATGAAAAAGGTGCAGTACAGTGAGGACAAACAACAGAAATGCTACAATAGAGGGATTCTGCTCTAGTCACATAAAAACTTGGCTATTTTAATTACAGCTTGCCAAATTTTTTTGTACTCTTTATATTTTCAGATGAAATTTAAATATATAACTCCAAACTTGCATTAAATTTGAGGAAAATATGTATGAATTTGTATAAATCAAGTTTGCTGCTACATTGTGTGTAAATGGGTCTAATGTGTAATGAAAGGCAGCTTTAAGCCCAAAGGTTATAAGATAACCTGCAAAAAAAGACTCAGCCTCAACAAAACTTAGTTTGAATTCAAAGTACCCATAAAAAAGTTTTTTAAAAAAGATTCAATCCTGCATTTGAAATGTTGAGCGAAAGGTCACTGAATGCAGAATGATTTCTGTCAGCAAGTGAAAACTGCAGAATAATGCCTTTTGTTTTATATACTGCAATATTTATAGAGATGACATATAGTGTTACTTTGTGGTAAATATGAATTTTAAAGGCTTTTCTTTGCTTAAGTCAATAAAGAAAAATAGAGGCCACAACTGCGTTGTTTTACTTTTATTAGACCTTTGAAAGTAAAAACGGTGAAAGAAGTACAATTCTTTTGTAGCTGTTAAAGTTTTCAAATACAGTGAAAATGAAATGTTGAGGCAGTTCACCTCCAAAGTAAAAGCTGCACCTATTGGAATTCTTTCAGCAAATTTAAGAGCTGAACCACATACACAAGTAAATACTGGACACTTTTCATATCTTTCTATTACTTTCACACAGCTAGTCTCCTGTGTTGTGTGATGAGGGTTGTGATTCACGTGTACATATACATAATCTTTTTTTGTTTGTTTTTGGGTTTTTCTTTTTTAAAATGTTTTTGACTGAGCTCACTTGTCACTTCGGGTGACTATTATCACAATAGGAGAAAATTTTCAATATTTAAATTTCTTGAAGCTTTTGACTGTACCATAAATAAAATAAGAACATTAACATTTGTTGTTTTAGTTGGAAAGCCATGTATGGCTGAATGGTTGTAATTGTCCATGGGTTTATCCATAACCTTTTTGTTGAGCCTTTAAAGGGGGCTCAGTGTATATAGAAAAAATAGTGGGAGCTCACTCCCATTAGCTGCTTTCACAAACTTTTAATTTCAGGGGTTTTTTTTTTGTTTGTTTGTTTTTTTTAGAGCCCCATAAAGCCTGTTGTGTTCTGACTTGTCATATAAGTTGACGGGTTAAAAATCCAATATCTGTCAACTAAAGAACAAGAAAAACCAGTAGTTTAACTTTTTAAAAATGATATTCAAGAAAAATGACTAAGCACCCTAAAAACAAACAAACAAAAATATAAGTACGAACTTGTGAAATTTGTTCATATTTAAGCAATTTGCTCATTTATGTGGTTCAACACTTACTGCAACTTTTACTTTGGAGGTTTACTTTTTACTGTCTTTGTGTGCGGTTTGTTTGAAAAGGAGCAGGCGAAATTTTGTTGTTGGTAGTTGTAAAATGGGGCTCATATAAAGACTTATTGCCTTATCCAAATCGAAAGGCATACAAAACGGTAATAATAATTAAAAAAAATCAATAAATCAATAAATAATACATTTTTTAAAGTTCCAAAATTATTTTGACCTTTATTTTGAAGGCGGAAGTATCAAGGCGTAGCCGCTTCCGGTACAGACTTTTTTTTTTTTTTTTACCGCGTAGCTTTTTTAGAGCTGAAAACTGGCAAAAAAAAACCCCTGAAACTCTGCAATTACTGTAGACATGAATTTCAAAATACGGCGTGCTGCGAAGGAAGACTGCAAAGACATATCGAGGATGATAATGGTGAATTATAGTTAACTTATCTCTGTTTTTCCCACTTCGCAGTACTTTTATAGGGCTCTGTTAAACGTTAGCTCAATATCTGAAATGTTAGATTTTGTTTCCTAATAATTCTCCAGAGTGTGTTTCTCAGTTGACATAACGGTAAAACGGCGTTTTCAGGATTTGGCGATTTATGAAAAGATGCCTGACCAAGTGAAGATTTCGCATGAAGGTAATTCTCCCATTAGTTAAATGTTACGGAAAGTAAAGATTTATTTGTCTAAAAGCATACCGTTTTTTTCTGTATAACTTTTAATGATGACTTTTTAAACCGACTGCAAAAGCATATGTATTGTTATATATAATTTTGTTATATAATGACTGGCAGTCAGACCACAGTCCTTAAATCGAGTGCAGCCATGTTTACACTTAATAAGTAACTGGCAAGGGTTAAACTCCCAACAATCAGATTGTCATACTCAATCATCATTATAAACCCCACTATTAAAAAGTAAGCACTTTAAAATCATTAAACATAAATATCAAAGTTGTGTATTTATTCTTTTTATAATTATATAGTCAGTGGTAACTTCATTGCCCCCAATGGGAAATCGATTTGCAGTATGTCCACACATCAAACAACACAAATAACAAAAAGAGAGAGAACAGTTAAATTGTTTATGGCAGAATATGAAAGAAGGTTTTCTGAGATTGTTGTAGAGAAAACTTTTATTTTCATTTGTTGCCTCAACAGTTTAGGGACACACAACAATAATGCAAATGACAGTAACTGTCACGTGTCATGTGTATGTTATATGAAAGAAATGGAATAAGGTATAAACATTCCCAGCTCCAAACAGACCTTTCCAGCACAAATAACTTGGGTGAATTTAATTATTTTCACAGTGTCTGTGTCCCATTTTACTTTTCTCATGAAGCCAGAGAGATTAATGACATAGAACCTGGCAGAATTTAACGTTTTAAAGGTACAGCTCACCACTAGATGTCAATAGATAGCAGACTTCATCAGTTGAGTTGTTTTCATATGCTGCTCAGTTCAAGTGAAAAATCCTAGCTATGGTGGTCGCTGTAGGACAAACAACTCTTGCTGTAGTTCATCTCTGTTGTTACCTCAACTGTCAATATGTTTCCACATTTATTTATGCTGGAGAAGGTTGTAGAACTTGGTGAAAGGAGTTTAAGATGAGTCAATGAGTGAGTGAAACATTTGTCCGATGACAGTGAGAGTTGAGTTGTAGAGCAGTTGATGCTGCTGTAGTGGTGTCTCTTTCCTTTCTCTGATGATAAAACTATAGATATGATCCATCATATCTTGATTTTGAAACTTTCCTCCACAGCAGGTGAACATCTAAAAACAAACAAACAAACAAAAAAAACTAACATTATACCAGCTAAAGTTAGGTTAGAGTGTCCTAAAAATAACACTTTCCCTCTGATAAACAGAGGCTGGCCTCAAAGAATTTCCTGGCCAGTCACCATGCTGCCCGGGCAGCATGGTGGCTTCACCAAACCTGATGCCTGTTCTGATGTATTTTTAGCTGATGAATTCCAGGTTTAGAATTGAACTTGGAATTAATCTTCCAGCAAACATTAGTTCGTTAGAAGATGTAATAACACACTAAACGGTATTTATTCATGGGTACAACATTCTTTTTTTTCTTCTTTTTTTGCTGTTAAATAATGTAAAAAAAAATAAAGAAATGAGCTTCTTTACCTTTAGTTAAGTTGGTATTTAAAATGTGCTGCCTTGAAGGATGAATTTATATATAACTATAAAATTCATATATTAGATGCAGTTATTAGCTGAAACAATAACTGCAGCTCAGTGAGAACGAGTGGTAATTAGTCCAACAATGATTAACTGAATAAGATTAGGATTAGGTCCCTTAGATATAGGTGTATACGGTCAACTGCAATTCTTCGTGTACTTTTCCCTATCAACTGTCATGCAGCTTCTTTTGAAATACATCCAATCTCTCTTTTATTATAAGATAAAGATAGCTGGATTACTAAGTGTCTTTAAAAAACAAATACAACCAGATTGTTTTGATATCTTGTGTTTTTCTATTGTGCTCAGAAGTTGACGACACACTGTGACCCCAAGCTTGACACAAAAGCATCCTTTTAAGTAAAAGTCTGCTAATACCTTTGGAAAAATTTACAGTAGAGGACTGTCATTCACAACTGGCTTAATAGAGACCCTGATGCTTCTCCTACTCAGAAAATGTTATTGTCACTACTTACTATTAATGAAGAGACAATTTTAAAGAGAATTCAGTTTCTCAAATGTATGTTTTTGATGTTTCTTCTTGTTTGAGAGCTTTTTATTGCTGTTAAAATAGAGATTAAACATGTCTATATGAATAACTTTTTCTTGTGCAATTTAGAGTTAGAGCGCGATGGTTTCTGCCAGAACCCCCTCTTTGAATGCCTCGTTGCAGAAGTACCAGAAGAGCATAAGTCTAATGAGGGTAAATGTTCAATCATGGCCTTTTGTTTTTATTGTAGTCTTCCTTGTCTGCCACACTTGATCTTATCAGTATAATAAAAGGCTTCTGGCCTTGCTGTTTAGATATACATGTCTGACAAATTATGACTGAACAAGTGTTACCTCATAAATCAACAGTGGCACATGAGGCTATTCTTCCTAAAATTAAGATAAGCATTGTTCTTTCACGTGTTAGAAACAAACATAAACCTTGCTCAGACAAAGCAATGCTGCTAAGTAATTAGGAACTTCCCAGCTCACATCACCACAGTTGCACAGTCAGCATTAGATTATTTTAGTTTAAATTTTATATCTTTAGTCCTTATTAGCAATAGCGGTCTTTTACATTAGCAGTCCACATAAAAGTGTAGTTTAGTATAAGGAAGAGAGAGGTTTTTCCATGATATTTGTCGTAATGTTTACTTCCCTTTGAAATATTTGCCTCTTTCTGTTCATATAGGATTCACAGTTATCGGGTACGCCCTTTACTTTTACACTTACAGTACATGGAAGGGACGGGCAGTATATTTGGAGGACCTGTATGTGATGCCAGAATTCAGAGGTACAATATTTTTTGTGTGTGTGTATATATATGTGTGTGTGTATGTATGTATATATATATATGTGTGTGTTGTATGTATATATATGTGTGTGTGAACGGTCGTTTGCCTGTGTACGGTTAGTGTGGTAACCTGTCCAGCATACCACCTCACTGTGAATAACTATTGTGTAATATATGTGTGTGTGTATGTTACTTATATATATGTGTGCCCGTGTTGGTGTGTGTGTGTGTTTTGTTTGTTTATATTATGTGTGTATATATATATATGTGTTGTGGTATTATAATATATAATTAATATATTATAATTATACTATAATATATAAATGAAACTATATATATACTATAGTATATAATTTATAATATTCTTATTGTACAAGAGCTTATATATTATTATATTATATATAATAATACTATATATATGATATCTGTATGCGCCTCGTATAACATCCACACCATTACAAGCTAGCTCGTTGGTCTGCATAGGTGTGTCGTATGTATATATGTGACATCCCACATCGTTGACGAAGCCCTAGTAGCCCAATGATCCTTGAATGGGCACACTCACCTCTGTGCTATATTATCATCCCCAGCCACCCTAGCCTAGGTGTATTCCTCAGCTCACGACGTAACCTCGTCTATATGTTTGCTCTCTGTGTGTATGATATATGTGATTCGTCAACTACACCATGCCCCATCGCCCTCTAATTGCGCCAACGAAAGTGTATCGAATTTCTGGGTAATTGTATATTATGCTGTGCACCATCCTGTTCAAGATCTGTCCTCGCCTGTCATCATCTCATCACCTTCTGTGTGTGTGTGTTATGTATATAGATCGTGTTTGTAATGGCGTGATACTCGCAACTAACTTCACAAACGGTCATTCCTCTTCCGCACTTCAACTGTCACACATGCTAGTGTTTAAACTGCTGTTGTATCTGATTAATAGATATTAATCTGTGGTGACTACTGGAGTCGATCACCGATCGTGTTAGTAAGTTTATCTCTGTTATGTATATATATGTTAGTGGTGTGTGTGTGTATGTATATATGTGTGTATGGTGATATTATATGTGTGTGTGTGTGTGTTGATTGTGTGTGTGTGTTGGTATATTATATTGTGTGTGTGTGTATGGGTGTTGGTATGTATTATATGTGTATGTATATATATGTGTGTAGGTGTATGTGTCTATAGTTGGGTTGTGTAGTTATAGGTGTGTGTGTATGTATATAATGTGTTTTGTGTATATATATTATATATATTAGATAATACATATATACTATATATATATATATATATATAATATAGATAATATTGTGCTGTTGTGCTAGTTAGTGATAATATAGTAACTGATCATCACTATCATAATATATTAAAATAACCATACAGATAACTCAATTACTACATCACTACATGACACGAGCACTTATATATTAGGGGTGCAACGATACACAAATTAGTTGTTCGAACTTGGTTCGGTTCGATATTTTTTCGATACAAAAAAAATGTTCATGCCTTTTTAATTTGTCATTTATTAAAATTATAAATATATATTTTAACTCAAAAGTACAGTTTTTAAATTTAACCCTAACCCTTGTGCGTGTTTTTTATTTTGACAGCGAATGCGCACCTGCGGACCACTTATGTGCAGCCCTGGTTATTTAGCTCGTCATATTGCAGCCACAGAAATTCTTTTGTCCATGAAACCATAAAGCTGCACTTTCTTTTTGCCTTATAGTCTGATTTGTCATAACTTTTCCGTTTTGTGGTAAGCTTTTCTTTGGCTGTCACTTCTTCACCCTGACCTGTCTTATTTGGCTCAGCAGAACTAAAATATATATCCTGCTGCTTTTACACACGCACTCACATAAGCTCAGCGATTCTCTGCGCGATCAACCTCTCACATGTTTAAGCTGCGGGAGATTTCACTTGTCATGTTTGCATAGTAAGCTAACGATTAGATAAGACGATGTCAGAGGAATTGGTGCACAAATTATCATCACTCACAGATCAGTGCTGTCGCTCTCTATACACAGTTCGCGCGATTGCAAAGTGAAAGCAAAAAAACAAGCGCAAATTCAAACGCGATTTCAATATGTCACATATTGACAGTGGCTCACCGATGCCAATGACATAATTACCCAGCTACATTTCCGAAAGAATGCAAAAGCATTGACATATATTTTTCCTTCCTACAATAGCCCGACGGGCAGGGCAGAGATAGATTTTGGTAGCCCGACTGAAAAAATCGCTAGCCCCGGACGTCGGGCTAGCGATATTGCGAGCCCTGTATCTGATTGAGGAATCACTCATCTTTGGAAAAGAGAGTTTATTACAGAGAAAAGATTGCCCGCCCTGTATCTGACCTGATAAGGACACACACATCCACTCTCATTCTTTGGAAAAGATTTTGTTTTTTGATTACACAGAAAATAGAGAAGAGAAATAGCTCCTCCAAAAAAATAAAAACAAAAAAGCAATATACGATCCGCATCTTCTTCTGGGCGGCTATCATTCCATCTCACAGACCTAAGCATATAAAACCATTATCAGGCTCACCATAAGCGAAGAACATCATCTGTAAAGCTAACGGACCTGCTAAATGACTCACGGGGTGTTTTACGCTAAAAGTGTGTTAGCCATGTGTGCTTGTTGTTTTTCTTTATTGCAACCCTGGCCACCAGATAGACATCATCCCGTGTATCACCCCGTTCACCTGTCGGAGACAACAACACCAACAGAACGTCAGGTAAAGTCGTTAGCAAAAAACGCGGAAACAGAAGAAGTAACATGATCTGCATCAATTCTCGTTCGTCGTACCCACTCAGGTTCGCGACTTTCAGGCTCGTTCAACCTCTGTCGTTTATTGTATTTTTTTATAAATACATTCTTAAAATGAACCCCCCCAGACACCTTAACCCGCCCACACCACACAGGCAAATGTCCTCCCACGATCCGGTCTTACAAACACGACGCTACCCCCTGACTGATCATTTAAACGCGCAGTGGCTGGATGGTGGCTTAGCATACACCTGGCCGCCCCAAAACACCTTAACGAGAGGGCGCTAACTGTGCTAAACACACACTAAGCTCCACACCCATTCTGTAACTTGAGCAGCGCCATAACATTGCGTGGTAGGCACACATCCAAACTACTGTATATATACTTCAGCCGTCCACTGACCGCGGACCGACTTACCTTCCCAGCGGTCATACGTTCTCCACAGGTGAAAACCAACCAATAATTCCCTAACGCCCCCAATCATGATCGATGAGGCAAGTGGGACGGGTTTGGGAACCCCATGGGGGAGTTCAGAATTTTCCATAGTTGCAAGGACGAGCTTAACCTTCCCTGTCGTCCTCGCTAAGCTTGCCCTGCCCGCTCTTCCACTTCTGACTATGCTGTCTGACTGTGGAAGCGAATACAGTAGGATCTGCCCCAGCTCCGACAGGCAGGCCTAGGCAGAGAACTCAGAGTCAACGCAGATGCACTGACCGCGCCCACACAGACAGCCATCGCAGAAGGACAAAGGTTGCACTAAATGATAAATCTACCAACAAACCTGTCTAATTGTTCCAACGATTACATATGGCGGTACCGCGAAGCCCGGGAAAAGCACAACCTGTCATACGAAACGCCTCAAATACGATACGAAAGTATCCCGTCTGCCACCCCCCTAAGCAAAATAAAATATATATATATATATTATATATATCAATATATATCAATATATATATATATCTATATATATCAATATATCTATATATCTATATATATATATATTAATCATATATATATATATATATATACTATATATCATATATATACATATATACTATATACATATATATACATATATACTATATACATATATATACTATATACTACATTATAACGGTTTCCCCTAGTACGGACAACTGCGCATTGGTACAGCCTTATTGAGCAAAGTTGCAGAGGTAAGACAGTTTTTGTTGTTGTATGGAAAACCTATTTTTTACATTTGATTTGTTGCATTTGGACGCTTTTGATTTTTTTCTTCTGTTTCGGTTAATATCAGCTGTTTTGTGTTATAGCGAGGTAATAGTGCATGATTAAGAGCAGGACAATTTTTTTATTTGTTCAGATTGGGAAAAAGAAGCAGTGTGTGCGGCTGCAGTTGTCTGTGCTAAATTGGAACACTCCCTCTCGAGACTTTTATGCTGCTAAAGGAGCTCAGGACCTCACTGTCACTGAAGGCTGGCACGCTATCCGCTTTGATGGACAGAACCTGGACAATTTAGCAAATGAAGCACCTAAAGATTGACAAGAAAACTATGCTCTTTACCCTTCTGTGCAAAATGGTGCTTGTTTTAAAACGTTTTTGGTATTTTTCTCCATAAAACAGCCTTAATTATATCTTGTGTGTGTCCTTGATTTAACAAATTAATTTACAGGGGGCGAAGGATGTAAAATACATATGAATTTAGTATTTTTGATGTGATACAGCTATCCCTTTTGATTTCTTCTTCTATAGACTTGAAATAGTATCGCTCAAAGTCCCATAAACACAGACCCCTACTAAATAAAACACTGAGTAGCATAAATCAGTGGTTCGGTACATTTTTATGTTTTCATGTACGTTTCTGAGGAACTGAAAACCCAGTGTATTACTTTCACTCTTACAGTGATGCAGCTACTGTGACCAATTAAGTAATGAAAAGGAAGAGATATTAAAACAACCTGTTAAAAATGAGGCTTTTAAGAATGTTAAGAATGCGAATTTTTAAAGTGCTGTACATGACTTTATGCTTTAAATGTTATATTTTAAACTCTTCCTTACATTTAAATTATTTATCACCAATCAGCAAAATGTTTCTTGACTCTCATTGGGTAAACCAAATCCCAGATGTGACATCACAGCTTTCCAACAGGTTGCAACTGTGAGATACTCCAAAGGTGATTTTTTTGTTCCTGGAAGATGGCATTTTTAAAGTGTTGAATCTGTATTATGTGAGAATGTAAAACACAATGTGTCACCAAACTAAAATGGGCATTAAAGAATAAAGTGGGCCCTGAGAAAGTACTGTTGTTAAGTGGGTTATATGACAAGATTTGAGCTCTGAGCTTTTTTTTTTTTTTGTTCTTGTTGTTGATTTAAACATTCAAATGAAAAGCTGCTGTGCAAGCAAGTTCTGTGAATGTCCTTTTTTATTTGACTGTGCAAAGTAGTTAATAATGACAACAACAATGTCACCTGTGCTAAACACCGCTGAGCATCACTAGCAGAAATCATAAACGTGTTAACATTCTCATAATTTAGGGCATTTGATTACTGTGAAATGGTAAATAACTGGTAAATATATAGTAAAAAACCATGCAAAAATCTTGAGAAATGTATAAAATCAACAAAGTGACATGTAAATATACTCTGTGCTTATGATTGTTTCATTCTTTTTACTCAAGTGGCTCCTGCAAAAAAAATAAAAAACCCAAAACAAACAAAAACTGCACTGGCTGAAACCACACGTGTCCTGTTATTGTGATAAATTATGTATGGGACCATTAGAAAACAAAATATACCAACTGTGTGCTTAGTTGGAAGTGTGACTTTTGCATCAAAATTTACTTACTGTAACAGATTTTGTCCTGGAACCTATGACCGTAATTGATATTATACTGTCACAGTTTTCATTATGTCCCCTATAAATGATACCAGATTTATTTTTTTTACTCATTGTCTCTTTCAGAAAGATTCTGAAAAGATTCTTACTTTTCCGTCTACACATTAACTTCTTAGACATATGCGTTTCTGTCATAGTTGACAGACTGAGAGGGTGCCACAGTTGATCGCACGTGTCCTCTGGAGGATGGTTGGAGTGGATACGGTCTAAAATACAAAAGGCACGTTTAATTTTATTGTATTAATTATACACCTGTTATATGTATAATATCTGGCGAATTAAACTTTTCAGCAACAGTTACATTTTTTCACTGTCAGTCATAATTCCGCAGGAACACAGCAGGCACGAGCCTCCACAAATGGCAAGCGTGCCTGAAGCCCAGCCAATATAAAGCGCCTCTCCAAGCTCATACCTGCAAGACAGTAAGATTTATTTATATGACATTTTGATTGTGATATTTATTTAATATTAACAATTTTTAATCTATGTTATGTGCTTTCAGCTGATGCAGATTATATTGACTTACTTTGTCCCTTGGTAAAGAATGTCAAAGAACTGCTGGGTGATGTTTGCTGCGTACCAAGACACGGCAATCATGGTGCAAAGCCCTACAAAATGCAAAAACAAGTTAAATTCACAGAGTAGTGCACATATCTTTATTAAAAAAAAGTCAGTTTTGTTTACATTCGTTCGGTTGTTTGTGCAACATGCTATCTAAATGTTGCATAAGATTTTTTTTTTTTCTTTTTTAAAACTTTTCCAGTTTTTGTTTCGTTAATTTTTTTTATTTTTTTAATTTAAAATTTTTTTTTTAATTGAAAATTTTTTTTTTGAATTTTGGTTTTTTCAATTCCGGGGGAAATTCTTTTTTGTTCATTGGGTTTTTCTTTTACTTGGTTTCCCCCCTTTTTTTTTAAATGGGGTAACCAATAGTGCTGTTGAAATGCATAAACTCTTATTAATGACGGTCCTATATCAGCAGGTTTGTTAGCGTAAGGATAACCTTTTGAACTAGTAAACCATTATATAATGGTGATATGATAGCATGTCTTGTGAAAAGTAGAAATCGAAGAACCAGGCATGCTTATATTTAACCACGTGTTCTGTGCAAACATTCAGGAGTGTGAACTGTCTTAAATCTGTCACATGACTTTATGGAGGCTAGGTTGCATTTCTCAAATTGTAAGTCTGGTTCAAATAATCAGGCAAAAGTTTCACATGTAAACACTAAAATGCTTGTTTTAAATGAAAGTTTTTTTTCATTCCTTTTTTTCATAGATCTTTCATCCACCCCCAAGTCTTTACCTTGCAGTAAAAAAAACACTCCTCCAACTGCAGCAATCTTCCCCTTTAGAACATAGTTTTCTCCACCTATTTTCGAGCACTTCATTCCTACAAGCGTAGCCACCAGGCCAAACGACCCAAACACAATTGAAGCAATCATCAGTGCTCGAGAGGCCTGAATGTAGCCTGTGTGCAAATAAAAGACAGAATAACATATTGATTTATACGTTTGTGTACCGTATGGTTATATCTAAATAAGTAACAAAGATTTAAGCAGTAAGTTGGTAAGAACTTTAGAAAAAGCTTTTTTTTGTTTGTTTCTATTAAGCTTCATATAAAAAATTCTTGCCCTCAGATTTTCATTTGTTTGACATTTCAGTGAGAGGCTCCACCTTGAATCTCACAGGACAGACACAATGATATGAGTTGATTAAGATCAGGCAGACCACAAATATTTTCAAATTATTCCACATTTCACAACTGATAAAATAGTCAGCAAATTGTAAAAGTATCTGTTGTTTCAGAGAACAGGAAATGTTTATCCTTTCAGGTCTAGGCAGATCTTGTGACCGGGCTGTACAGCCCATCTTGGGTCTTTTTTTAGTACCAATCAACCAGAATACATAGTATAGAAATGTGTGCCTCAGGATTGTAGGCAAGACTGATAACTGTTTGAGTACTACAAAACTCTTTCTCTTTGGATCACTTTGATATGGTGAATATTTATATGTCACTTCGCATAACTTGATTCTTAAACAGTAACTTAAGAAATACAAACCAAAGTAGATGCTAATTGCTAAATGGGCATTGATTAATTATAATTCAGTCAAAGTTTTTATTGCATTTGTTTTTTTCTGGATTTTCTATTGCAGTTACTCTGTTCACCAGTACTTAGTACAGTAGTAATTTCCAGACAAGTAAACAACTGACACACCCTGAACAAGTAAAATGTTGATGAAAACATTCATAAAAAGGATCAACCTTTTTTACTGTTGTAAAGACTGTTTAATTATTTGTTATTAAGGATTTTTTTAAAAGTCCTCTGTTACAAGAGCTGATTTTTACAACATAGTTTAAGATGGTTTCAGATAAAATCTTACTTGGAAAGTCTTGGGCTTGAGTAGCTAAGCCAGATGAATCCTTAATTGATTAATTAATAAGTACTTAACTTAATAAAACTAAAAAACAAAACAAGAACATTTATGTGTTGACCACATACCAAGCAAAGATGGGAAATCACGGCAATAATTAACTCCTGTAGAGTCAGTTGCGCAGGACATCCAGAGGTTTTCATTGTTGATGGGGTGAGATAACATTACCATCAACTGTAAATTCCTTCCAGTATCGATTTGGAAGGGCGACCCTGATCATTATCCAACTGTGAAAGCCCAGAAAGGAAGCAAAAGCTTCCACTATTGGGTTTATAACGAAAAATAGATGTAAACGTTCATCTCCAAACTATGTTCCCACACAATCTTGAAGTTGTTAGCCACTGAGCCTCAATGTGTCAGAAATTTTTCCTGCTAAGATACTACAAAAAGTACAAATTAATGATTAATTCCAGCTCACCCACTCAACATTCCCTTTATTCTGAGTTCTATTCAAACTTTTCAAAGACTCAAAATGTTACCCAACTTACGGGGCGACAGAGAGGTGCTTACCAATGTCTATAGATTTAAAGCTACATGTCACCTTTCGCCATTTGCTTTAAGTCCTGTGCCAATGTTATTAACTATTTATTGATGGGATTCAAGCCATGCTTTGGCTCCTCATTTCACTCTCTCTACAAGGGATGATGGTAATAGGTGATGAGGATGCATAGTTGCATTATGACCCTAAGTCGAGTCTGCTTGCCTGTCTGCAAATCAGACAGATTCATTATTAGTCTTTTAGGATCCCAGCATTTGGTAATGAATAAAAGAAGCATTTAACTTCAAAATGTACTCTCTTCCAAACAGTTTTAAACTAAATTGCCTAAAATGAACATGTTATCTCTGAGCATTGCTAAAAAAAGTTTTACTCGTTCTGTAATGGAGTGAAGTACCACCAACCCTAAAATGGTTTTAAACATTGCGTTTACACGCATGACAAAGATAAACTTACATGAGAAATTTGGCAAAAGGATTGTTTAGATTGGACAGATGCTGTTTATTTTTTGTCACCCCTTCAGATTACAGCCTGTGGCAGATATTGTATTTTTTTTTTTTTTTGGCTTTTATGAAGATTATTTGATTGTTATTTCATATTAAGTTTAAAGCATTTCTTTCAGTATGATTGTAAAATTTGCTAAATCATCAAGAGAATAAAAATACATATATGAGAATATGCAAGCTATGCATATAATCCCAAGTACTTTTATATTAGTTACCTAATTAAATTATTGTAAACGGCGTATTTTGGAAGATGAAAAAAATATTATGTAAAAAATTTAAACTTTACTTACCCGGAAGAGCAAAAAGGGATGGAAAGTCACGACAGTTATAGTTCCCCGTTGAATCACTTGCACAAGACATCCATAGGTTCTCATAGAGATTAGAAGTTAATATAACACTGCCGTCTTGACTGGATTCCCTCCAGTGCTGATCTTCTAGTGTTATAAGAGTCAATATCCAACTAACAAAACCTAGAAAAAGTGCTACGACTTCAATGAGCGTGTTCATCTTGGCAGTAATTTTTATTAATAATTAGTAGAAGTAATAATAATTGGAGGAGCTCTAGTTGCGACTTCAGTATCTGATACACATTTTGGGAATGTGAGAACTGACTCAGGATTTTTTTTCCTCATGCACTGGTACCTGGACTAATATCCGCATTGCTTTATAGCCTGTAGCTACAATATAAGTGTGCTAATCCCGCCCAAAATACATGACATTACACATGGTAGGCAAGTTGCCATAGAAATGTAAGTAAACAAGGAGCATGTTCATAAAACATTAACTGTTTGTATTATTAAGAATGTTTTGCAGCAGTTCCAGTTTTTTGTTAATCTCTGAATCTTGTCTTTCTGTCTGTGTCCTGTTTCTGAGGAGTTGGTAACTTTCAATTTTAATGAGGCTATTTCAAGTTCCATGGGCAAATACTTAGGGGGGAAATGCTGAATTAACAGTAAAGCAAACACTTGAAGCTGCTTAGGTGATTTATAAAGGACAGAAAAGTATCTTTTTGCGGCACTACTTAAACATTAACAATTTTGCAGCAGGAAAAAAGACCCGTTTAAATTCCTAACATTTGTAAATACTTTTTTTAAGTGATACAGCATATCGATCCAACAATGTCTGTTCTGTTGAAAGATTAGCTTGAAAAAGTGCAGAGCTGTCACCTAAAAGAATCTGCACAAAGGCCTGGCTGCTACAACTCAACCTTGTAATTCATTAGTGTCTACACATGAGAAAAAATGTATGGAAATGTAAAAAAGTCCAGAATTTATCTATACTGTACAATATATATGAAATGTATGTTTGTTTTAAATTAATTTTTTGCACGTGCAAATCTCCCCGACTGTCCCTCAGAATGAATGGTGATGTGTTTACCATCTTTGACTCAAGCAATTCTTAGTTTCTAAGAAACTTCAAATCACCCCTTAAAGTCTGTATCTTATCAAATGGGAATTCTCTTTTGCTGCCAGCAATCAAAAGCATAGTTCAAAGTACTGTCATATACTTACAGTACTGAAGAGGAATTACACTTTTAATGTTTTGTTAATCTTTTATCTCCCTGCCCTCCTCTCTATAAATTTAAATACTGATTTACTTGTGTCCGCACTGACCTCTTTGCTTAAAGGGAAAATTGAACTGAATTAGACAAGTAGCCGGACTTGATGTTTAAAATCAACCCTAACTCTAATCCCTTCATTTTCTTATTCAAGACAAAATAATTCAAGATACAATTTTATTTTTATTATTTCAACAATTTTCAAGTGAAGGTGTTAAATTTCACCTAGTTATAGCAAGTTAATTTACTGCAAGCGTTGCGTATCCCTTTCACGTTTCAGCTGTAATTACTGGATATGTGCCACGCTTTTGTACCGCTGGCTTTCAACTCTGCTCCAAATGTTGTTTCACTGTCAATGTTTTTAAATCCAAGTTAGCTTCTAGGCAGGGTTCCTATTCCACACCGTTCCTAGAAGAGATCTATAAATGTCATAAAGAAGTAGTCAATGAGGAGCAGCACAACCATTCAGTTAATGACAAAACTACTGATAAGGTGTAAACGAGACATTCCTTAACTTTATTTCTGGATGATTATTTTACATCTAAATATAGCCAAAATCAAAGCATAGTCATTGTTTCTGACTTGTGTATGGGTGTGTGGTGATTTATATCTGGTACATTGTGGTTATCTAATGATTAATTGACCTGTAATTAATAAGCTGCATTGCACAGATTGTTCCATGCTTCTCCATAGCTAGCCGTGCCAGCCACCATCTACTATTAGTAATATACTGACATATGGATGAATCTGCTCTGAAACGGTTTGCTTTGCTTCAAATAAACTAGTAAGTAAGGAAGTAAATTCATTTATAAAGAAATTTTGCATAGAAGATGTGACTGTAACAGTAGCTTCTGCACAAAATTCGCATGTGTAGCTTGAGACTATCTGATTTTCTTTGATTGTCTATTTAAATGACTTTCATAATTGAAAATATTACTTAACTGAACAAAACTTTTGAAAATATCCCCTGTTTCAATTTTAGAGGATGGTTCAGATGTGGTTTGGTAATGTAGTAAATTCAGCAAAAGCCATTTAGCAATGCAGCATATTTAAACCTCGGTCAGGTTTTGTGTGCTGAAGGTAGCAGAAATTTGATGAAGTAACTGCGTCAGTACTGGTTTTACTAGTACGGTACTCGACATTTCCCCATCCCTCTCTTTCTCTTTCTCTCTCGCACATTATTATTTTTTTCCACAGGCAATCACCATAACCAGACAGCATGTGTGTCTGCGTGTGGGTGCACTTGTTTGTTGATTAATTGCTAAACTTATGACAGCACAAAACTTCCAACATAGTGGTAGGTTCATCGTCCTGTCAAGCAACATTTGCTATGTAAAATTAAAGTTACAGGGTGATTGATTTTAAATTTCTTTCTCTGTACAAGGTTAAATTGCCTCTGAAATACGTATATTCCAAAACTTATAGCAAAAATTGTGGAAAATTTGCATGTTAAGGTAACACGCAATCCATTTCAGGAGCATTACATTGCAAGATAGAACAACAATTAATAATACATGAATTTCCAATTATCTTGTAAAATATCACATAGTTGAAGTAATCAAAAGCAGAACATACAACATACCTTTTTGTTTGTTTGTTTTTGTTTTTTAATGAAACAAGAACTTTTCATGAGGCTTAATTAGAAAGGAAAGTTATGGCAGCGGTTTTTAAAATATACCTTCTCAATACCATAGTTTTTAATTTTGTACAAAAGAATAGAATGTTCCAGTTGTGAAATTTTAAAGTAACATAGTTAAATAGTTTATAAAGAACAAAGAAAAACTGAGATACATATACAGTACTATTGCCTTAAAAGTACTACCCAGACAATGAGCGGCTCTAGTGGAGATCTGCACTCTCTGAGTACTTCTGGTCTTTCTCTTTTATACTGAATTGTTCACAAACAATTGTTTTTTGTTTTGTTTTTACATTTTTGATAGTTACTTGTCCTCAATAAATTGTAAGCTGCATTAACTGTTAGCGTTTGCATGTTCTCTCTGTGTTTTGTTTTTTTTCTTCTTCATCTTCATCGGTGTCCTCTTGACCGAAAACATGCAAGTTTGGTCAATTGGATGGATAAGCATGGATTTTCATTAGAAGGAAAATCAATTATTCGTATCCTGCGTTAATCAAGGTAAATGCAACAGAAAAAATCATTTGAGTTTCAGAAATGTAGATAAAATAATTGATAATCTGTTGCTGTAGGGTTTGATTAAAACATCAAAAAGAAAACAGATTTATTGCAGGTTTGTTCGGGGAACACGTCGTCATGTCATGATTTTCATCATTATCAGATGGTTAATAATTTATTTCAATAATTACGCAGAATGGTATAATTAAGGTCAGTATCAGTAAGAAACGTGTTCCACTCGAGACAAACAAGACAAATGTCCTTCAATAACATACTGTTCTGACCGACAGTGAGTCATTCATTTTTTTCAACTATTCTAGAAAATCCTTGTCTTTCTTTTCTCAGTAAGAACAAGCTGCCTCTTTGTAGAAGTGAGTAAATAATCAGTGAAATGTCAACAGAGTTTTGCTGCAGCTGGTAAACGTGCAATGAAATTTAATCTGCTGATTTGGTCTCGTCAGTACTGTTGTGTTGGTTAACAATGTAACCTTAGAGGAGGAAGGTCCTGGGTTTGATTGCAGGCTGGGGCCTTTCTATGTGGAGTTTGCACCTTCTACCTCTGACTAGATGGGTTCACTCTGGATGCTCTGGCTTCCCTCCCACAGTCCAAAGACACACTGATGGATAGATTTGGTGTTGCATTCACATTGGCAAACAAAGTAATTTTTTTGGCTCTTCCACATTTTGTCATAAGCACAAGCTGGACATTTGCTATATATTTTATCACCATGTATATTCATATAAATTCAAATGCAGGCCAGAAAGTTACAAATGAAAAGAACCAACTCTTGCCCTTCCGAAGGTTTTATTGATTGCTTTTAACTCTTCTATCTAAAATGTTTCCTGTAATAATTACTTAAATCCTGTTTCTTAATAATAAATACATAAAGAATAAAAACATATTACTACAGTGTCAATACAGATTACATTGCATGTGATTTCTATACAGTTAGCTTTTCTATAATTACTGAATAAAAATCTTACCAATGCAATTAGTGCAACATATGTTTTGACAACTTTATATTTCAGCTATGTGTTATTTCACCATGCTGTACTTTTCTATATATTCTATAAATATATCATAAGTAGATAAAATATTTGCATGCAAATTCTACATAAATAATAACAATATAATATAAATTAAATACATCAACAACAAATTGTTGTACAAATTACTGATCTTAAAAATTAGAAGTATATCTGTTTTGCATCCATCTAAATTCAAAGCAGTACACATCCCCCCCCTTTGGCTTCCACATAATTAGGGTCAAGGTCATTGGGCAACTTCCCCTTCTCTCCCCAGATATTCAGCTCTCCAAACACACCAGTCTCAATCATTTCCTCCTGCCAGGGTATTGGGACGTTGCCGGACGCAAAGTCATTGTAGAACTCAGCGTCCTTGTCATCCAGGACCACACCTTTGATTGTGCTGAAGGCACCCACATCATCAATATCTTTGGCATAGACCATTTTAGGATCGGGGACAAATGGTGGAGGTAGCATTCCTTTAGATGAAACACAAGAGATAAACAAATGAGCATCTTTTTGTTGCATCGTTTTCAATAGACATGTAATTAGGAAATACGTGCGCTTGTCGATGATATTTTTTCATCACCTGCTTCTAGACGTCCCCAGTTAATGTCTTTGAAAAATGGTTGATTCTTGAGCTCTGCGCACTCGTTATTTTTGAAGCCCAGTCGTTTAGTCGGGTCCTTCTCCATCAGGCCCTCGCAGATGTCTTTGCATTCTTTGCTGAATTTTGGTGTGTAAGAAACTGGATCATTTAGAATTCTGCGAGCTACCTCTTCATTCTCGACCTGAAGAAACAACATTATATACATTTTATTAGGCACAGAGAACCGTCAAGAAGGACAAGCAGGAGAAGAGAGGATGTATGTAAAGCACCTTTTCTCCTCGTACTCTAAAAGGTCCTTTGGCAGCAATCATCTC